AGTCCGTTAGAACTCTATCGTAATTACGTATCCAATGCATTATCCCAGTAGAGTTTAGAACTACGTGTCAAGGGGGTGAGTGTAATTATGGATACCACAGGGACCTTAAAGTTATTTAAGCATACCTCAGGGGTGTAGATGTAATTTACCCAATTTTTTTTTTTCAAAATTTTTTTTTTCAAATTTTTTTTTTCGCCGCCGGATACCGGTTTTGACTTTTCAATTTTATTTTTTCTTCCGGATTTTTTTGCCGGTTTCCGGCGTTGACTTTTTCGGTTTTTTTTCTTTCTTTCTGTAACATTTTTTTTGGTTTAAACAATAATATTGCTGTGATTGACGGTAATATTAACTATATTACTGTTAAACACAGTAAAATTAACTAAACTACAGTTTAACACAGTAATATTGTTATATTAATCTCTAACACAGTAATATTAACACAACAAAACTCATTATTATTGTGTAATAAAGTAATATTACCATGTTGACCGTTCAACAAATGTAAACATAATAAAAAGCCAAAAGAATTAATATATATTACTGTGAGTGACAATAATATTACTATAACAACAGTAATATTACCGCCAACCACGGTAATATTACAATAATATACATCAATATTATTACGTTACTCCGTGAATAACTCAAACAAACAAAAAAATCCAAACAAAATAATAATATTGATGTGGTTGACAGCAATATTACTATAACAACAGTAATATTACCGTCAACCACAATAATACTATTGTGTTTACAGTAATATTACAATAATAGACAGTAATATTATTACGTTACTCCGTGAATAACTCAAACAAAACAAAAAACCCAAAAAAATAATAATATTGATGTTGTTGACAGTAATATTATTGTGTTTATAGTTATTTTACTATCAACGTCAGTAATATAATTACGCTGCCTTGTCAACAAATCAAACAAAATAACAAAAAATAACAAAAAATAAAAATAATAATATTACGTTAATTTACTGTCAACGGCAGAACAATTACATAAATGCATTGTCAACGTCAGTACAATTACGTTAATTAACTGTCATTGACAGTATAATTACGTTAATTTACTGTTAGTGACAACACAATTACGGTCAACGTTTAGCGCCGGACGTAAAAAAAAAAAAAAAAAAAAAAACTTAAAAAAACACTAAAAAAAGTCAACGCCACAGGCCGGCGAAAAAATTCGGAAGAGAAAAATAAATCGAAAAGTCAACGCCGGAATCCGGCGGCAAAAAGTTTTTTTTTTAAAAAAAAATTTTTGAAAAAAAAAAGGTCAAAATTGAATTTTTGTGGTCAAAATTGAATTTTTGTGGACAAATCTTATTAAATTGGGTTTACAATTAAAAATTGGGTATAAAAGGTTGGGGGTAATATTGGCATATACATGAATGTTTCATTTATTTATAATAAATATTAAAATGATGAGCTTATCGGTGAAATAGATATAACCCATTAACATAGAATAATAAAGATGCTTGGTTGGGGACTTATGCCCAAAAATCCCTATAAAAAACGAATTAAAAGGTAATAAATCTTGGTTTTATTTTAAATCTCAATTATATATATATATATATATGGCGAATGGCAAAAAGGCCCATCACATGGGACTTAAATGCATTTTGGTCCACAAAAAAAACAGTCTCTCAATTAAACTCATCCCCATGTCTTTAGTCTAAAATACCCTCCATAATATAATTCTTATCAATTCCACCCATTATGCTATAACTTCCTTAATATTACACATTGACCCCGGATTTAAACAAATATATCACATTAACCCCCAATTTTTTTTTTTCAGAAAATAATTTTTTTTCTGAAATGTTTTTTTTTTCCGGCCAGATTCCGGCGTTGACTTTTTTTTTTTTTTTTTTTTTGAAAACTTTTTTTTTCCTGAATTTTTTTTCCGGCAGGTGTCCGGCGTTGATTTTTTTTTTTTTAATTAATATTACTATCTTGACTACTAAATTACTGTCTCAGACAGTAATATTACTGTTTGGGACAGTAATATTATGAATATTATTTTCCCAAACAGTAATATTATTAATATTATTGTCTAAGACAGTTAAATTACTGTTGGATACAGTAATTTAGCCGCCCGGGCCGTAATATTAATTGAAATAACTTTTTTTAAGAAAAAAAAAAAGTCAATTAACAGTTAAATTACTGTCTCCGACAGTTAAATAACTGCTGGAGACAGTAATTTAGCAACGAATACAGTAATATTAATTAAAAATATTTTTTTTAAGAATAAAAAAAGTCAATTAACAGTTAAATTACTGTCTCCGACAGTTAAATAATTGCTGGAGACAGTAATTTAACAACGAATACTGTAATATTAATTAAAATATTAAAAAAATAAAATCAATTAACAGTTAAAGTACTGTCTCCGACAGTTAAATAACTGTTGGAGACAGTAATTTAGTAGCAAAGACAATAATATTAATTAAAATATTTTTGAAGAAAAAAAAAGTCAATTTATAGTTAAATTACTGTCTCCGACAGTTAAATAACTGCCGGAGACAGTAATTTAGCAGCTATGACAGTAATATTAATTAAAATATTTTTTTTAAGAAAAAAAAAAAAAAAAAAAAAGTCAACGCCGGAGACCGTGGTCAACGGCAGTTGTCCGGCCGGAAAAAAAATCTGGGGAAAAAAGGTTTTTAAAAAAAAAAATAATAATAAAATAAATAAATAATAATAATAATAATAATAATAATAATAATAATAATAATAATAATAATAATAATAATAATAATAATAATAATAATCATAATAATAATAATAA